CGCACGCATGCATGCATGCATGCACAGACACACTTGCACATCTGCACATACACACATACACACATCTATGCATCCATGCACGTGTGGCGGAGGCATGCATGCAAGCATGCATACATATAAATATGATTCATGTGACTATATTGGCGTATCGAAGTGTGTAGACAGACAGTGACATACACTGACACATGTGTGGGCACAGACAGGAGTGAGAGAGAGAGAGAGAGAGATTGAGACAGAAAGAGAGAGAGAGAGAGAGAGAGAGACAGAGAGTTGGTGTGTGTGTGTGTGCTTCACAGTGCACGCTCATATGTACCTTTACGATGGAAGGAAGACCACCTATGGCATTCCATTGAACGTTGTTAGCTGGCCGGTACTCTCTCTGCCTCGCTAGGTGGAACGGAGGTACCTGGGACTTCCTGCGGCGGGTGGTTCCCAACGACATGCTTGATGAAGCTCTGAGCTGGCTGGATGAACACATCCCCCCGGAAGGTATTCCTATCTAGGTTGTAGCATAGTGTTCGCTAACGACCCGTGCCGGCAGCACTGACATGTCCTCTCCTGCAACGCCGCTGCTACATATGTGTAAGGTCGTGTGAATTAAGCCATGCCTGACTTGAGTGCCAACAGCAGCGGCATGGGGGCACATGCCGTGCATTCCGTGCACTTCTGCTGCGATGGAAAAGATGGCTCTCCGTGATTTGGGCACTGCACGAGGGCTCAAAGGACTGCGCTTCATGAATGCCTGGCTTTGCATACACCTGGGTCGCTGGTGCCTGGTGGCAGGTTCGAGCCTGCCGACTTCTCGAGCTTCTCTGTGGAAACAGTCCTTTGCGGCTTCCATCCTTCGACCCAAAGGGTTCGTCCGATCGGGAAATGCAGGAGCTGCTCCAGTACTGCATGACTTTGCGAAAGCAACATGCGTGCGAGACAAAAGTGTTTCTTCAGCCATTGATGAGATCGCATGTCGATTGTAGGCAGGTGCCACACCCAGCAAACAAGTTGATCGAAGCCGTCTTCAAGGTAGTTCACTAGTTTGAGGCCTTTCAGAATCTGGCTGCCTGGCACTTAGGGCACGTCACCACGGCGCTCTTTGCTTCTCCAGTGTGAAGCTGATGTTATCCGCGAACCCCCTCAGGCCATGAGCCTAACCTTCGTGCAGGGCCTTCCTCTCCAGGGCGTTTCGGCGCCGGCTCTTTCGAAGGCTGGCAGGATCTACAAATATGCTAGGCTATGCTTTGCTCTGCAAAACTAGCAAAACTATACCAAACTGTGCTGTTAATTCCAGACTCTGAATGCATGTATCTTTTGCGTTTCCTGCAGGCTCAGTCGACTCCGATCAGGAGTGAAGGCCATGGAATGGGCACCGGGACCCTTGGCTAACTTCTAGTGCTATTCGTGGCAGCTCTTGCGAGCATAGATCAAATACATCCGCATGACCCGCATTCTTAGTTTGAGAGTATTGCAATCTGCATTTTGGGAAGACTTGTTCTGCTCTTGCAAATGGTCTGCCTTTGCTTCTTTTCGGAGCTTGGCAGCTGCCAGATTTCTACCAAACAGCAGCAATGTGCACGGCTTTCTCATGCTTCATCGGAGCATGCGCGAATGTCGTCGGGATACATGGGCCACAGGCAGTAGGAGTCTTCGTGTGATCTTTCCTTCTGTTTCATCTACCGGCCCCTTGCGCCGGGCGCCCCCCTGTTGAGCATGATGAACCACCTTTGCCCGATGCCTGGTCTTGCCCTGATGCGTCTTGTGCCCGCCTGAGACAGTTCCTCGGCCCAGCCTCGTCCCATTGGCACTGGTAGGTTTTGGCATCGTCGCTGACACAGTCACAGTGGTGTGTGGGATGGTGGTGGTGTTGTAATTAACTGTGGTGGTTGAGGCTGTGCCCGTCGCAGCACCTACAGCGCTGAAGAATCTGTCATACTGCCTGCTTGAACATCGAAGGCGAATCGAAAGTATATTTAGGGAATCATCGGTTGGGCAATATTTGGCCTCCGTGAACTGCTGGACAGAGATGCTCTGGTGACTCTGGTTCACAGGTGGTTCATTTCCGTCGTCGGTTCACGTACGTCATGACCTGGCCAACAATCTCGCTTTAATAGACGTTTCAGGTGTTGTTTACTGCCTCGTGCTGTTGCTGTTAGTCTTCCCAACAATGCCGATGTTGTTTGTTGGTCTTGAAAAGGATGTTTCATTTACTCATGAATAACATCACTGCCGCCGTTTTTGTTGGTCATTCGCCGTCTGTTGTTGTGTTTGCACTATTGCAGCTAATTGTCCACTTTGCCCCACTAGAAGTCGCAAGTATGTGCTGATATGCTTAATTTGTGTACTCATGACTGCACTTCCACTAGCAGTAGCAAGCGCTGACATGACTGTCCTGGTCTGCCTAGTATTTTCGCAGCTTCAGATTGTAATCCGTAGTGGCTGCTGCTGCTGCTGCTGCCGTTGCTGTTGCTCTTGCTGGCTGTGTTTTGTTTGTCTTTTTGTTCTTAGTCGCGTTCTTCTTTCTCGCTCCGTTTTCTTCATTGCATGATGAGCTAGTGTCACTCATGCTCCCGCGCTCAGGACTGCCCTCTGCCTGGCCTCCGCCGGCGCGGTCGCCGCCCGAAGCCGAGGAAGGAAAACAGCCATCAAGGCGGAGACTCGCACGAGGAGACTTTCTTCAGTAGGGGCAAAGGTTTATAAATAGGGTTTTTCAGGGGAGGGTTTGGGGGTGCTCCTTTGTTCTGCGGTCTGCAATGCAGAGGCAAACCTTTCAGGTTCAGGTTCCGGTTTCAGGAGATCTTCGCGACTTTTGGGCGGTAGGTTTCTCTTCTGATTGGCTCCTCCAGGCTGGGACTAGACAGGGATTGGAGGATCCTGGCGGCGACGCGCTGAGCCCGCCAGGACGGTAAACCCTGCCAACAACGAGCCGGAGGATCCGAAAGACTTCCCCAAGCCACCGATGATCGACAAGACGGCTTCGTGGCTGCAGTGGGTATTAGTAACCAGATGTTTGGTATGTGAGCTTTGTATCCAAGCTTGGCCGGATCCGATATCATGTGAAACTGCTCAAGTTACAGTACCAAGGACAACTACTTGGAGGGAGAGGCGCTGTCAAGCAAGATTGCGGGCCTCAAGGGCAAGGGTGAGTCAAAGACGGCGACTGTTCTGAATTCATGGTGTGCAGGGCACCATGAATTGCCGTAGAGGGCAGCCTGTGGCGAGTGGACTGCTCAGGTCGCGATCATCGGCGGCGGTCTCTCAGGTTCGCGGTACATATGCAATGCAGTTTGTGCTTCTGCAGATAGGCACCGTCTGCTGTGCAGGCCTTGCATGTGCCAAGTATCTGGTGGATGCTGGCCACAAGCCCATCGTCTTAGAAGCCCGTGACTGCCTGGGTTTCTTGGCGTGCACTGATGCCTGCAGGACGTAATCGCACCAAGAGCGCACGACCAGACTAGAAATCAGCATATCTTTTATGCAGAAGGTGTTCTGTTATGGGCTTTTCAGGTGGCAAAGTCTCTGCGTGGCAGGATAAGGACGGCGACTGGGTTGAGACAGGTGCCGTGCCCACCAAATGACTGGCTCTGTGTCTGTGTAGGCGTAGCTCCACGTGTCCTGCAGGCTTGCACATCTTCTTCGGTGCTTATCCGAACATGAGCCTTTTCGGCAGGTTGCCTTTCGGAGCGGGCCGTTGGAGTTTCTGTGGCACATGTGCTGCGACGGAGCCATTCGGATGAACCTGACATTAGGATGAATCTGTTCAAAGAGCTGGACATCGAAGATCGGCTGCAGTGGAAACGTCACCAGATGATCTTCGCCATGCAGGCGCGGTGAGGGGATTCGCAAGTCTCCCACAGGATGCAGTTACGTTTTTCTTTTCAGAGCACCCCAGGAGCTTCCGGGTGAGTTCACGACCTTTGACTTTCTCGAGGGCATCCCGGCGCCTTTCAACTTTGGTTTGTCTATCCTCCTGAACCAGACGCCCGTCCAACAGTCTGGGGAGAGCAGCTCTCTTTTGCCGGTATATTCATCATGCCCGCCACCAGGAAGATGCTCACACTTCCCGAGAAGCTGCAGACAGCTCCGGCCCTTCTGCCGATGCTGGTTGAAGGCCAAAAGTTCATCGACCTGCAAGATGAACTCTCTGCGACCTGGCAGGAGCAGCTTGCGGGGTTGCAGCGGAAAGTTATGCTTCTCGGTGTGCCCAGGTCTTCAACTTCATGGAAAAGTACGGAATGCCTGACAGGACCGCTCTTTCTGGCAATCGGATAGGGCAAAACTAACCGAAGGTCCGGCATAGACCTTGGCTTAGGCCGAGACCGTGGTAAACGCCAGGATCAACACGGAGGTGTTCATTGCCATGGCAAAGGCCCTGGACTTTATCGACCCGGAGAAGCTCTCAATGACCGTGGTGCTCACGGCCATGAACCGGTTCCTGAACGAGACGGACGGCATCCCGACCTGTTGAACCTTGTTGTGCTTGCGGGGCCAGGGCTGTTCTGCCTACAGCACAGACCCCGAAAACTGGTTGTGGGGACCCAAGGAGGGGTTTTTGGGTCAAAGCTTCCGAGGCCTTCAGATGGCTTTCCTAGATGGCAATCAGACGCTGCGACTCTGCGAGCCCATGAAGCAGTACATCGAGGCAAGGGGTGGCCAGGTGCTGCTGAACAAGCCTCTGGCCAGCACCCTGCACCAAAAACCATATTCTGCTGCGGGGAGGTAGAGTTCGTTTGAGTAGGGCGCCTTGCGTTTGGGAGGTGCCTCCGGGTTCGACTGGACTTTGCGCCCAGGTATCGAGACCAACGAGGATGGCTCCGTGAAGCACTTCCTCATGCGCGACGGTGAGAAGGTGGTCGCAGACGAGTACATCACCTCCGCTTTTTGAAGGAATTGGTCGGCTCAAGATGAATTTTCGCTCTCCTAGCCAAGATAAGGTCCCCTGCGACATCATGAAGCGCATCCTTCCAAAGGCCTGGTCCACGGACCCATTCTTCCGGCAGATCGACGAGCTGGAAGGCGCGTCTTGCGGAGGAGAGTCCTCAGAAGGTCGGTTCGTGCATGATTCAAAATCGCCCAGCTGTGAGGCATTCCAGTAATCAACATCCATCTCTGGTTTGATCGTAAGACGCTCTGCTGCACTTGGTCTGCTTCCCGTGTCACTACAGGTTGCAAGCTCTGGGGTCAGTCTTGACAAATCCCTGTCTCTGGACAGACTGTCCGGCTGGCTTGCCGAGGCTCCTCAACGTGAACCATCTCTGCTTTAGCAGAAGTCCGCTCCTGTCTGTGTATGCGGACATGAGCACGTGCTGCAACCTGGTATGCAGAAAGTGGACGCATCAAAGCCGGTTTTGTCGCATAATACCAGGCAAGCCCTAACCACAAAAACACCTGGCTACTTACCAGCAGTCGGGAAAAGGTGTCAGACAAACACACACCTGGCGAGTCAGCTCAGAGCGTAATTAAGCCCTGGTGTCATGGTCTTAGATGTCTTTTTTTGCTATTGTACATCTGCATTTGCTGGATTTGCCCACAGCATGAGACCTAAATCACACACGGCCGAGCGACTCATTCAGCAATGAGGGAGGCAACAAAAATCCACGCTGCAATGCGGCTTCGTCCCTGCTGAGTAGGAGGCAAAGCCCTGAACTTTCGGCAAGCCTGGTGGCATATCTCATGTTCGAACTGAGGCAAGGAGTACGAAGACCAGGCTCCTAGCATTTTCTTCTGGCTGTGTATGCACCAGAACAGCCTAGCAAACAGGGCAGGGACCATAGAGGAGCTGAAATTGGTACCGCCATGGCTTCTGGAACGGGTTTGCTTCTCCCAACCTGCCAGGACAAGTCGATGCTAGAGCTGGTCTTTGCTCCCTGCTCGCCAATCGCAGGTGGCAACACAAACTGGACTCTAGCATCGCATAGTCGCGCTTGCTTTGCTTTGTGTCAAAGACGAGTGCGGCTAGCAAACACCATCGCGCCTTGGGTCAAGAAAGACGCACACTTAGGATGGGCAAGAGCGATCAGGACATCGTCGACGCTACCATGAAGGCGAATACGAGTGTTACTGTACGTCTAAAGTTGTTTTGGGGAGCTGGCGCTCGTTGGTCCCCGATCTTACGGTTGCGGTCGTTGCTGTGTCGGGTCCGAGGTTTAAAGGTTTCTGGCTTTGAGTGCAATGCTGCCGTCGTCGGTGCAGATTGTCTGCCATCCACTGAAATTTGGTGATCACCTGACGCGTGGAACCACCAGCTGTTTGCTGTATTACATACATACATACATACATACATACATGCATGCATACATACATACGTACATACACATGCACACATACATGCATGCATGCATGCATGCTCACATGCACACACGCATGCAGACAATGCATACATACATATGTGTGGCTATATACGTATAAGTATATATAAACACATACAGACATAAATTTCGGGTACAGGTTTCATGGATGTATGCAGGCAGGCATGCATACGTACGCAAATACATACATACCTACATACGTACATACATTCATCTATACATAAGTATAATTTGCATGATTCTGTAAGCAAATAAATAAATCAAGAAATAGATATACAAACAAGTAAATATGTGTATATATATAATATAACTATAATATACATATATATATATATACATACATACATACATACATACATACATACAATCACATACATGCATACGCATGCAGATGGATTGGCAAATCAGGCACGCGCGTGTTAGAACTGTGTGTGTATATATATATATACAATTATAGCTCAAACTTGTATGTGCATATATATATATATATGTATATGTATCTATATATCTGTATATCTATATATCTATATATCTATATATCTATATATCTATATATCTATATATCTATATATATATATATATAGGTACACACATGCACACACACACACATGAATGTCTGAGCTGCAGGAATTGGAGCGCCTTTTCCCCACCGAGATCGGCCCGCATCTGCCCGATGGCCTGCCGTCCCACTTGAGTGATGCAACAGGTGTGTTTTCGCATATTGTTATGCTTGTCGAGACGTCGCAGCGCTGGCATGTTAAATGGGGTGGCCGGTCGGTCCGTCTTGCTCACGCGTGCGTATTATACACATGAGTGTACATCAAAACTTTCCAAGTGAACATAACGGGCTTGCGACATCACATGCCCGCTTGTCTGTGTACAGATGGCAGGCCTCCGGGCTGCCTAGGCCCTAGCACAGTGTAATGCAGGGGGTGCCATAGAACAATCCTACTGCACATGTGGTCATGTGACAACACAAAATCACCTAAAACCACGGCGATTGCAGACGTGGCCGGTGCTTGGGCTTTGGCCAACGTTAGTTTGTGCGGTTGTTCCCCCACCAATTGTTGAATTACTCCGGCCTTATTAGAGCCCGCGCCAAGTGATGCAGAGGCGGTGCAAAGCTCATCAAGCATGCTGTGGTGAAGGCTCGGTGCTGGTTTGGTGAATTGGTTGTGCCATGGTCAGTCCTCCCTCAGGTGCCTCGAAGTGTCTACGCGGCCATTCCGGGTCGCAACAAGTTCCGCCCGTCCCAGGACTGGTTTCATGTGGAATAGGACCTTGCAAGATAAGCACGCAGGAACATGTAGGAACTGGAAGTGTGCTGGCATATTAGCTGCAACTGCACAGGAGACACCAATCAAGAACTTCACCCTGGCCGGTGATTGGACCAGCCAGTCACATGACACCATCTGGAATGTATCTTCCTCCTGTCTACGTGTTCGTTTTGGCCAGCTCTGGTCCTCATTGCTAATCGTTCATCCGCTAATCCTATCTGTGAGGAAGTTCTTGGGCAGCATGGAGGGTGCTGTTCTCGGCGGGAAGCTTGCTGCGGAGGTTGCTTCTCAGCGGCACACTGGAACTAAGACCGGAGCTTGAGTGTCCTCGGCGAATGTCGTGACTGCACCGGGACTCCTCCACCCGAAGTTTGCTGTAAGGTCGCTTGCAGATCAGCTGGCGAGCCCACGAAGGAGTGATGAAATCTCTGGGAGTCCCTCTCGCTGTTGCTTGCTTTTTGCCCCCATGCAACAAGAAACACTGTCGGACCCGTAGTGCACCTTTGATGTGCCGCACGACAAGAGACTGTCCCTGCAGGGCCTGAAGAAGATTGACGAATCCATCTTGGCGAAGAAGGACGAGTTCGCGCCTTCCCCCGGAACTTGACTCCTTTGTGGTGCTTGGTGCCAAAGCCAACTGCTCGGCCCCCGAGGTGCCCAAGGATCCAATGGGCATCAAGGGGAAGACGCCCATCGCTTTCGGTGGCGGGGAAGTCCTGGGATCCAACTTCGATGCTTGGAACGCACAAAACTATCAGGCAGTTTAACAAGCGCGGCAAGCTGCTTCAAACCTTCAAACGACACTACTTCTGAGGAGGACAAGCTGAGAAACCAGGAGGCTGTCTTGCTGGAGAATGCTTGAGGAGAAGTCTTCAAGAGACAATGTACGGTGCGTTCAGCACTATCTCGCTTTCAGTTCGGCCCCGAGATGTGGGCCTTGAACCTTGTTCATCGAGCGGCATTTCTGCAGCAAGCGCTCCTAACTCCCAGTTGTAATCCGGAAGTGCTTGATCAATTCTTGCTGCAGATGCTCGCAGTATCTTTTTAAGGCCGGTCCTCGGCCTGCCTCTAACTTCAGGACAGTTTGATCTCCTCGAAGCCACGCGGACCTTCTAAGAGGCCTCGGCCAACACTGTCATCCTTGAAGGTCGTGTTTTTCTTCCAAAGGCTCCAAACTTCTAAAGCTAAGAGGTCCAGTGGCACGTTTCACGAGGCATTCGGATATGAATTTTCAGCTGCATGGCAGGGTGGAGTGGGCAGAGCAAGGTTCTCTGCTAGATAAGGCACAGCGCATACCTGAGTGTTCGAACCCCCTGCCACGCGCTTCATCGTCGCGCGACGATTGAGAGAAGGAATGGGGGGGGGGGAGAGACTGGAGGCCGCTGAAACCAGGCCTTCCGCACAGAGCTACTCCGGGATGCGCCCTTTGACGTTCTCAGCCGTTTTGGCTCGCCGCTTGGCTTGTCCGGGCCCTCACTTCCGGAAGAAAGGCGGGAGATGCAGGACTTGACGGTTGGCGGTTTGGTTGTTGTTCTCCGAGTGCTTGACAGGTGCAACATGGCGCAGGAAGAGATGGAAGACCAGAAGCTCAGGTGCGCACGAAGCATGGTGCTTCCTTTCATTGTGCTGTCCAAATGGCACCGTGTCGTTTTCTACTTGTAACGTAGTTGTTTCAACACTGGGACCCTAATTCCGCCCCGAACTTGCGATTTGGCGATTCCCATGGCCCGATCTGTTAGGTGTGCGCTCGTCCGGCAGCCTTCCAAAGGCTGCGACCAATAACCCATGCATCTTTAAGACAGAAAGCTGGCATGGGCACGTGGGTGCAGGAGACTTGCTTCTGAGCCAGCGCACGATGGAGGTGCTCACTAAGTGGGTGAGGTCCTTTGCCGGACCTCGTCCCTTCAAATGCTGGTGTTGCGGTGGCCAGGATCGCGCGTCGTGTGTCGAACGTGGCCTTTTGGCATCGTGGGCTGCAAGCTTGGTCACGACGGGCGCAAGTGGTACCAGACAACCTGGTGTGCAAGCCAAGGTGCGGGGGGCAGCCTTGGGCCGCCACCTCGTGCTAGTGATGAGGGTGCCCCTCCGTTTCAACAGCCTGCAGCCAGCGACTTGTTGAGCTCGGTGTTGAGAGGTACTGATGCCAGGGTGTTGGGTGTTGAGCCCAGTATTTCGGAAGCCTTCGGAAGCTCAAATGTCGAACACCTGACAACTGGAGGGCCCTCCAAGAATCATGCTTTTGCGGGCGCGGCCGGGCAACCCAGTGGTCCCCTTCGATTCAGACTCGGAATCCTAACCGGCTGACGCTCGACTGCCCCCTCCCTGTACCCGGCCTACCTGGCCCACCGCAAGCCGAGGCCAACGGCGAAGTCAGCGCCGACCTGGCAGAAAATGGTGGGCCACTCAGGGGCGGTGGAGCCTTCGTCGATTGACTTCGATGGAATGCAGCTTTTGCAAAGTTCCCGGGCCAAAGGCCTTGGGGGATCTTCGAGGTGGGCGCTTGAGCTGCGTAGGCGGGCGCCTGAGGCTCGGAGCTGTCGCCTCGCCTGAGAGCTTTGTCGCTGCAAGGCTGGGGAAGGTACGAGCTGCAGATGCCTCAGCAAAACTCTGCAACCCGGTGGGGGCGGCACCATACCGGCAGAGCACTTGGGGCCGAGGCGGCGGCACCATACCGGAGAGCTGATCGCAACCTTCAGCCCGGGATCCTTTGAAGACGTCGATTTATTGACCAATTCCAGAGAGCCTGGGTCCACTAAGCTTTGAGGACCCGAGCCGCCATCCTCTGATGGTTTCGCGCTTACACCGTCCCGGTCTTGGGCCTGCAGCCCTGGACTACCAGGATACTAGTAACTAGTACAGGACTGAAGCACGTGCTTGTCCCTTGCCCTCGGCGCCACCAGGTTCAAGCTGACTCGTCTACTTTTACTTTGGAGGATATCATGACCAGTAGCCAAAGAACATAGCGCCCCGTAACATCATGCCATGATTGCTACGATCTGCAGAGACCGCAGGGGATGCATCCCGCTCGCAGCCCTTCGGCATCCTCAGACCATTCACTACACTCAGCACACCTTCACCCTGTGCCAGCTCGGGCCTGCACGGCTTACCTGCCTACGAAGAGCGGAAAATTCCAATTGCCCTTCGCCATCCATGGCGAATGTGACGACCCTAGCGGTGCCTGGAGCCATCCCACAAGGAACTCCAGGTGGCCGGAACCCAGGAGACTGGTCCTGCCAATTCTGCAAGGCGGGGAATTTCGCTCGCCGCTTGTCGAAAGGGATCCAAGAGCCACATGCAGCGATATGAAGCCCCGTGCTTGACTTTTCTGACTTGGCTGCGGTGGCTGCTTCATTGACTGTCGAGTCTCGAGGAAACATCTCCTGCAAAACCTGTGGTGCTCAGCGACCGATCGCTGGGTCTTATGGGACGCCCCTGCCAAACGCGGGGCAGACAGACCCGTTTGAGTCACCCACAGGACACCTCTGCGTGCTTGTTTTTGTCTTAAGTGGTCTCTTTCCAGCAGTCTTCGATGGTGGTTTGAGCCAGGACAGCCAGGAGACTGGAGCTGTCCCAAATGTAGAGCTGTGTGCTTCGCAAGAAATCCTGTCTGCGGCAGGCGGGGCCCTTCCCTAGTCCCACAGTCCAGAAATCACTGGACTCTCTCTCTCTCTCTCTGTCTCTCGTGTTCTGTCTGTCTTTCTCTGTCTCTGTCTCTGTCTCTGTCTCTGTGTCTCTCTCTCTCTCTATCTCTCTCACTCTCACTCTCTCTCTCTCTCTCTCTCTCTCTCTTTCTCTCCTCGCGCAAACAGCGAGGTGCAATTGCCCCAAGCCTGAGAGCATCGAGGAGTACAACCTCCTCGCAGCTGCAGCAGTGGGTGCCATTCCAGGCAGTTGGGGAGTTTGTGTTTCTTTGGAGGTGTTTGTGGAGCACTGCTCGCCTGCGGTGTTGCTAGGCGTGAAGGCGAGTGTGAAGGGCTACGTGCCACCCACTGCAGAGCTGAAGACGGACGCGACATCTCCCTGGGCAAGGCAGTGGGCGGCAGGACCCGCGGGTGGAATCTTGGATCAAATCGATTTCTGATTCAGTCCCTTTCCATGTGAGTCAACCCGATGTGGCATCTGGTAATCCTTTCAGATTTAAGCTTGATGAGGCATGTTCGTCGGTGAGACGAACTTGCCGGAACCTTTTCTGCAGACCATTCATCCAGCTGCTCCAGCTCCCATCGACAGTTTCAGAAGCCTCGTAAAGTGACAGTTCGATACAAGCGGCCGAACTAGGTAGTTTGTTATATCGGTGTGAGACCTCATGGGGCAGATAATGTCTTAAGAGCACCGGGTGCTTCGCTTGATGGTCTCAGGATGATCGCCGCTTTCGTATCGTTCTTATAAATGATTCGGATTGGTCTTCGCACTCCTTCCGCTATTCCAGGTAGTGCTCCGAGTGCCCCTGAAGCATTCGACTTAAGAACCGATCGGGTGTCAATGCTTGTCTTGATCCGGTGGTGTCAAAGGTCATCCCGATCGTGACCGCCAGAATGACTACGGTACTCGTAGTACGAGCTCTCCGAAGTAGTCATGATTATAACGACGAGACTCCGGGGATTGGAAACAACGGCAAGAACGAGCCTGCACTCGCCAGCACGATGCTCTCAGCAGACATCAGCTCTATGACTTGTATAAACTCGGCAAGGTCTTGCACGGCCACAGAAATAACACCGAGTCCAAACAACGCTTATTGAGGCCCGTAGAGAACAGGAGTTACCAACCAGGTGTGGTTCATACAATAGTATGAAATTCTGCAATAAAGCTGCAGGAACGCAAGATCAATGCCGTAGCAATGCCATAACTTGAACCTGGCTACAATCATAATAAGAGTAATGATAATAATCATAATAAGAATAATAATGATGACAATAATAATAATAATAATAATAAAACTAATAATAATAATAAAGATAACTTGTAGCAACGGGAGCCTCGCTCAACTCCGAGGCCTGGCTGAGAGGTTCGCCGCCCGAAGAGAAAAAGAACTCCTCGAGCTCCTCGGGCTCGGGCCAGGCCCGAGCTGCCCTGGGGGTTGGCGTAGGCTCTCCCTTTTTTTGCAGGGAGGGGGCGGGGGGGGGGGGGGGGGCTCTGGGAGGCTTATGGTTTGGAAAGCCCTCCCCCCCTTGCTCTCCCGAGTGTTTTTTTGGACAGAGAACGCTTTCTTTCCAGGCGACGAAGAAGCAGAAGACTGGTGAGGTCTCAGACTCGAGCTCTTAATCCTGTGCCATCTGCCGATCATCCGCCTGTCATATACTATGCACACTTTTTTTCCATGAGAGGCCAAGGCAGCGCCGAAGAAGAAAGTGGTGAAGATCAAGAAGAAGTACTCGGGCTTGTCGAAAGAGGCTGGTCGCACAGCTCTGATCTTGTGTTGGAAGGATCTTCCGTGTCACGCTCAAGCCCGTTCCTGACAAGTCAGGGATGTGGGAAGTTGGCAATTTCGGGGGTCCAGTTTCCGGGTTGGAGGTTCAGAACGGCGCAGGGGAGCCTCGGAACATGCCTTGAAGTGCTCTCGGTAAGGGGACGCGATGCCGCCCGAGCATGCCCGAACTGCTGTGAACAACATCACGGGGGCTTGCGGTGCTCACAGGAGTGGAGGCCATGTCGCCCGAACTGCGGTGAAACATCACAGGGGCTTGGAGTGCACAGCAGCAGAGCCCATTCCTCTTAAGCTGAGCTGCAGCGAAGCATCACAAGGGTTTGAAGTGTTCAATGCAGCGAAGGCGATGCCGGCTGTTCTGGCGTGAAACATTACAGGTGCTAGAATGATTCAAAGCACCGGAGGCGACGAAGCCCGAGGTATCACAGGGCTTGAAGTGTTTTAGCGCCGGATGTTTATTCACAGCCGAGGAGGCCAAACTGCTTTCAAAACATCAAGCTTGAACGGGTTTGAAACATTGGCTGCAGGGCAGGATAGGCGGCGGACCTCCTGACATAAGCAGAGGAGGCGAAACCGACCGCCCAAGCTGCTGTGAAGCATCAACGGGGGGTTGAAGTGGTCGCACTCGTTTTGTTCCTGAGAATGCGCGCGTTTGCGGCTAGTTATAGGCAGCTGATGTTGCACCTCCCAGCCACGAATCCAAAGGTGCGCGCGTAGTAAGTACATGCCATAACATACGGTGTTTGGTTGCATCCGACAGTGATGTGATCGCGGCAGCTGCGGAGCCAGGCTTTCCTTCTGCTTCGAGCTTACGTTCAGAGATGTGCTGCTTGAGTCGCCTGCTTCGCATCCGTCCGACATGTCTCAGGAGGTCGTGAAGAAGAAAGCGGAGGAAGAGGAGGAAAAACGACAGCAGATGCGCGAGAGACGGAAAGGTCGAGCCGCTTGACCCCCAAAAGGAGGTGTTGAGCTGCAGATGCCACTGACGTTCAACTAAACGAGCGGGCTGAGTCTGCACGATCGATAAACCTATGTGTTGCAAGCTGTATGTGTGCAGAGCAGAGGTCATCAGTGTGGACTGAGCCACAATGCCTTGAGCAGAAGTTTGGAGTGGGACTCCTGCGCTGTAATCCACTTCTCAGGGTTTCTGCGCTTATGTAATGTCGCATCAGTTCTCCTGCAAAACGGCCAGGCCCGTTTCTACATTGGATTCCACAATACCTTTGCCAGATCTCTTGTGCTGGCCTGGGCGTAGACGTAGAAAGTTGCAAGCTGCGGCTCCAAACTTGTTTTTTGAGCAGCTATTGGGACAGCTGTGGCACTGGCGCGGCTAAGATCTGATGTGGTTCTGTCCATGTGCCAGTCACCTCTTGGACAGCTGCTCTCGTTACCACTGGAGGGCAGTGCAGCACGCAGAGAGCCTGATGATCGGTGAGCCGGTTGTCTGAATTAAAGGTGAGCAGCTAGCTGGAAACCAGCTGAGCCTGTATTTGACGATAGGTGTGAGCCTGCAGAGCCTATAGAAGCTGGCTGCAGCAAATGTCGGAGTGGAGGTCAGCTTGGATGCTCCATACATGTTGCAGCGATTCAGGTTTGCCAGGGACAGCTTGACCTCAAAATTCAGACTTGATGGGCGTTAGCAGACAGCGAAGCATGCTGGGAAAAGCTTGTTGCCAGCCGAATCCGTTTGCCAGCTCAATGTGTTGCATCTTCAGTATTTGTCAACCACTGAGAAGTCAAGTGCGAGGATCAGAAACAAGGGATCCCTACACTGAAACCGAAATAGCAGGATGCGTATTGCGAGGTCCCTAAGTCAGGTGTGCCGCAGTAGGCGCTGCTTTGATGGGACACTCCAAATGCCGCCAAGGATGAGTTTGGACCGCCTGCGAGAGCTACGAGCTCAGATGGATACTCCAAACTGCCCTTGGGGGGTCGTTCTACCATGCCTTTTTTTCATTCATGTTTCCACATGTTCTGTTTTTCTAGAGTATGTCACCATAATACTTTATATCATTTATATCATTACGGCATAGAAGACCTAGAAGTCAAAGACCCGAGGCTTGAGCGGCACTTCTGGGGGTGCCTTGCTCAGTCTCAGTACGTGGGCTTTTTCTTCGACTAACTCCCGACTCGTCGAGGCCCTGGAGACGAACCCGGGCCTGGGCCTTGCAGCGCAGAAGGTACCTGTAGTCACAAGAGGCCATGGTGTTGAAAGGTGTGAATGAGCATACCAGTTTCGTCAGTCTCTTCCTCCTCCGGGCCCTCTCCATTCTCATAGTTGTTGTCCTTGTCGCCGCCGTCGGCGCGGTTGCTCTCTTCCTGTACAACCTGGACACTTGCAGCCTGCATTGCTAGCATATTCGGGCTTGCCACGCAGCTTTGCAAGTTTGGTTTTGCCGAGGCTCCAGTGTTGGGACAGGCCCTCCGGCAGTCAAGCGACATGCATTCATGAAGAAGGGCAGAAGGACGAAGTTCTGCGGAGGTTTGCGAGGCTCGATGGGGTCCCATACCAGCTTGCCCACCGGAGGTGCGCACAAGCGGAAGTGAAGTCGATGCCCCGAAAGCTTCATGCAGTGTGGTGGTTTTCGTCAGGTAATGCGAGAGGCGGCGCGCATCGCGACTACGAAGGCCTCTGCTCTCAACTTGGGTCCGTAGCCCAAACGAGTCTTCTCTTCAGTGCGGGACAGCATGACCACCGAGACCGAGGTAGCCGCCTGCTGCGTCTGGGAAGCACCGACAGTGCTGCAGCGGGCCCAGTTGGTTTAGTGTTCGGCGTCAAGGGGTTGCTACTCGGAAACATAGAGCCTACCTGGCCTACCTTGCACTCTTTTTGCCGTTATGCTGAGAGATGCCCAGGTCGCCAGACGACCCGAGAGAGAGAGAGAGAGAGAGAGAGAGCGAGAGAGTGCGCCTCTACACCCTAGCCCTGGCGAAAGAAAGAGGGAGTGTGTCGCTCCTGCTCGGTAGCAAGCAAGCAAACAAGTAAGTAAGTGCGTGTGCGTGTGTGTGTGTGTGTGTGTTGGTGCCTTCTCCATTCCATGGGACCGAGGGGAGCGATGCCAGCACGAGTGCATGTGACAGTCGAAGCCTCAGCTGAGCGCCCGGAGGGCGAAGCTGGAGTGCAGCGCCGACAGGCAGCGACAGCGAGCTGGAGGTTCATGCGATGCCAGGGACCAAAGTCTCAAAGCAGTCTCTGCTGTGCCGCGTTTACAGCGAGGGCGGCGTCTGGCAGCCCTTGCAGCGATGGAAACCTGCGCCTGCAGAGTCCTTACCTTCAGAAAGCTTGAGAGGCACCGCGCAGGTCTCTCGGTACAAGGTGTTCCTTTTGCGGCCGCGGTACATGCAACATGCCGAAGTTTGCATCGTGACGTTAAGGTTCGTGCCCATGTCGATCAGTGGCGCGCCCTGCAATGTGGAGGCTTGAGACAGAATTACCGGCAAGGCTGTGGTGAAGCCCAAGAGCCCGCAAACTGCTTGTGTGTGTGTGTGTGTCGGGAGTTACCCAAAAAGTGATTTCCTTCTGGCCTGAGCAGCAGCAGAGCCTCCGACCCACAAGTCAGAGTATCCAGTCGATCAGCTCATGTGACCTTCGAGTCAGTAGAGTTTGCTCTCACCGCGTGCATTTCGTACTTACGAGTCGCTGCCATGGCTTCCGTGGTTATTGGCCGCCCCAGGGAGGATGTGCAGAATCCAGGTGCGTCGAATGCTAGGGTGCCCGCGGCTCTGAAGCACTTGGTCATACAACTGGATCATGGGACGTCCCCCGTTGTCGCCCCCATACTCTGCACCTAGTGTTGCAGAGCATGGTTAGTCAGCAGTTCGGCAAC